AGCAAATTCATAATAAACTATTTCCTAAATAGACACATAAACTACATAAAGGTATATAAGAGTTCTTGTTTAAGAATATTAACCTAAATCATACCAAATACTTGAGTACGTTAGTTTAGGATTTTCCCAACCAACACTACTACACTACCTATCGCTTGCAATATGGATGAAACTCTTTTCAAACTTTCTACGAACCACCTTTTAACATGATTAAGGTACCGGCGTTTCTTTATACATTTTAGTTACAACCTCAATTTTAGCTTAAAACGCAAGCATAAAACACGATGGAGTGGAATTTCCTAACCTTTAAATAGGTTTTAAAACAACAAAAACATTAACATGTTAAACTCCTATATAACCTTGAGTTTCCACTACGGAAAAACTCGTCAAAAATATACCCTCATCACTCTTAAACTCATTGAAAAGAGTGCGATGACAGTATGTTTTTATACAAGGTTTTCGGCCGTGGAAACTCACGGCAATTAATTACACAGCACAGAGGAAATGCCGTCCTTTAGGCTCATTATTAGCAAATTCCATTTGGTTAACGTCGTAATTACTTGCTGTAATGAAAGCATGATCAAACACGATAGCCTCCTAATAATAAAATAAACTTACCAGAGATCAGTTCAGGTGTTGTTTTGTTTTTTTTAACGTGACAAGAACTGTGTTTCGCTAAAATTATGAGCCAAAGTTGGGTCTATGAATGATAATAATAGTCACAACCCTTGTACAATTCAAAAGAATCTCAAAATGTTTCTAACCAGTTGTTTTTTTAACGTCGTCCATTTAAATCTGCTGTATAATTATGTGCTGTATAATTTAGTTTCAATAAACATAGCGCTCCACTGCTTTTTTGGTTAACAGTTAACATTACATTCAACAATCTATACTCCTATATCTATTTCATCATCACCAGCACACTATACGTCCCCACCGAGGGGCTCGGAGCCTACCCTAATATGGGGTGACTAGGCCATAGTCAACCACGCTGGCCAAGGGCGGGTTGGTTGACTTCACACATATCTTTGAATTTCTTCGCCGATATGTGCAGGTTGCATCACGATGTTTTCTTTCACCGTAAGAACGTCGGGTAAATTATGTACATATGGAAATTCGAAAAATCGAAAATCACATTGGTACATGGCGGGATTCGAACCCAAGACCTGTAGATTACAAGTCAAGTGTTCAAACCACTGAGCCACCAACGCTCACTATCTCTATCTATCATATACTTTTAAACTTTATATCTATATCTATACTATCTATACTAATATAATAAAGCATAAACACACACTTCTTTGTTGCCTAAGATGTCAGCAATCACAGCATGTTTTCGAATAACTCTTTTTTTAATAAAAACTTACGTCAGGCTTTAGGCTATATATTTTCACGCTATTATACTTAGGAGGTAAATACTATGAAAAAACCTTCATGTGGGAAAGAGACTGTAAACTACAAGCTGCCAACATCAAGGACGCAAGATTGCCATGGTACCTTCGTTGTCATTTGTGCATTTGCAATTGAGAATTTAACAAATGTAAACAATAAAATAAAGTTTTCATAATTCCATGCGGATGAAACCGCACGGGAACAGCTAGTGTAGTAATAAAATTAATACATTTCGATTGAATACCAAGAAATAGATATATTTTGACTAAATGATGGGTATCATATCAATTTTTGTATGATTCATAATGTACTTTTAACAGATAACTTCATATCTAAAAAATGGGTTCGTATGACTAATAACTTAGAAGATAAGTTACAAAATTTTACTCATCGCTACAATATAATATTATCTAATATTAACAGATTAATGTAACAAGGATTAACGTAACACGGCTTATAAATAACTAGCTATTTTTCGCCACTTCGCCCACATGGAATAGAAAAAAATAATAATAAAAGCATACCCTATGTTACTTAATTATAACTTAAAAAGAAGAAGTTAAGAGGTAGTTGAGATAGATACAAGAGATAGTTAATAATATTACATAACAAAATCCTTAAATTTGTACCTCCAAATATCTATACTTCTATACTATTATAATGAAGCGTAAACACACACTTCTTTGTTTCCAAAGATGTCAGCAACTGCATCACATTTTTGAATAACTCTTTTTTTAATAAAAAAAAAACCTACACTTATTACACGCTTTATGCTTTATAATTTCACGCTATTAAACTTAGTTGGTAAATAAATTGGACAAAAAGAGACCATAAGTTGCTGCCAACATCAAGGAAGCAAGATTGCCATGTATTGTCATCATGTCATGTCATTTTCACATTTGAAGTTTTTATAATTACCTGCGGATGAAGCCGCATGGGAACAGTTAGTTATTAATATTATTCCAAGTAAATTTCAATACCTAGTTATTGAATTGTTTTTCGTAATATTATGATGCATCTGACGTTTGATTATTAGGTACATGCACGTCATTTAATAATTAATAGCAGGTTTAATAATGAAAATTTAATTGCTTTTCGCTTTTGCCTACACCTATTTGCTTTACATAAAAATAAATATAAATTACACGATATAAGCGAATGTTATAACGTTACAAATAAAAATGTACCTGAACCCGGATTATACGCAGTTAAAATTTGACTAAACTATCGCACGACTGTTGCACGATTGTCAACTGTTTCACAGCCAATTCAACTGTTTAGTTGCACATCTAAAATCGAGTAGAATGCCCACCTCCATATAAACTCATAGGAATCAACTCGCCACTAAACCGTTGTGCGATAGTTTAGTTAGATATGCGCACGCTTTATGAATTTCAAAGTATAAGATATTTTGTAAATTTGTGATACAGAACACATTTCTACAGACTGACCGCATTTCTACAGAGTGGGACACCGTCACATTCTATTTGGCAGTGATAAGAAACACAATCTTTGGAAAGTTTAAACAACCTCATTGAAGGAAAGTTTCCCGTTTGTATTGTCAACAGATTTGAAGTTTGTCCGGAGCGAGCGCTAGTTAGGACTGCTGCATTGATATTTGAGTTCCCGAACACAAATATCAGATTGCCTAACAAAGACCCGTATATCAAGTCCGATAAGTTCCAATTCTTACCAAATTATATGAGATATTTATCCCTAAACTTTGTGAATACCCTTACGAAATATTGGTAAAAGATAAGTTAAAACTCGACGAACGAAGAAAGTTATGTTTGCCTACTTAGTGGCCTTATATGGAAAGACATTCATAATTTGTAAGGGTTATTTTAAACTCAAAACCGATTTCATAATCACTTTTGCCATATACCATACTACTTCTGTTAAATTAAAAAAGTAATAAAAAGTGTAGTCTATGTTACTCACTGGTAACGTAGCTTTTTAATCGTGAAAGAAAATTTTTAACTGAGTCCAGTTGTTTTTGTGTTTTTAAGCGTATACGAAAATACAAATCTTTCTTCTTGATTGTATTAAGTACCGATAGAGACTTCCTATGTTCCTTACAATTAAGATTAGTACTACACTAGGGAAAAAGATTTCGATGTACAGAATAATATTGAAATGTTATTAGAATCGCATTTTAAATTGGTCTTTACAAAATCGGTCAAACCCTTTACGCCACAAGAGTTAACATTGGATGGGACCCAAATGACAGACAAATCCGGCTTAAACAATACCCTCTCAGTCGGGTAAAAACTATACATGATAATCAATGAAGCGTATCGATGAAAGTTAAGTGAATCGAGAATAATTTTCTTAATAAAACTTTATCTTTCAACGAGCTTTTGTGCAAACTCTGGGCCGGCATCAAAGTTTAATATTACTTATAGTACGGTCCCTCATTTAGTCGCCGGTTTGTTTAAGTTGCGACTTTAGTGTCCAACTTAGCTAAGACAAACAGCAAACTGTTACACTTGAAGTTCTGACTGCTTGAGCTCCTATCGCTAAGGGTTCTGTTTTAATTATAGATGAAGGCAACGACAAACTGTTGCAAGAATTTGTATTCATTAGGTTTCTGACCTAGTAAAATATATGCCTTTTCTATCTATACCATTATAATAAAGCGTAAACACACTCCTTTGTTGCCAACAACAACAACTATTCTTTCTTTAATAAAAAGCCCTACACTTACGTCACGCTTTAGGCTATATATTTTAACGCCATTAAACTTAGAGGGTATATATTTTGGATAAAAACTCTAATGTGAGAAAGAGACCAGAGTTATGTCATTTTGACATTTGTAATTGATAATTTGACAAATGTAAACAATAAAATAAAAAAATTATAATTTCATGCGGACGAAGTCGCACGGGAACAGCTAGTTTAACATCATAAGGAAAGTAATGAATACAAGTATTTAATAATAGAGTTGTTTAAATTTAGGGTTTTAAGTAAAACTCGCATGAGCCGGATTGCTCGGAACTCTATATTCTATTTAATATAATTTATGTTAGCAAAATTGTTTAAGAAAGTTAGCACATTTTAAATTCGCCATTTACTCTCAATTTGATAAAAAATGAGAGTGACGCCACGATTTTGTGTATGCAGAATTTACTTTATCTTGAAAATATGCCAAGACAGGTATTACGGAAATTCAAGGGATGCTTAGTAAAGATTAATATGTGACATGCCTATTTAGAATTCTGTCGCCTAAATAACATCAGAATTCATGATATTAATTCAACTAGAGTCGATAACGTAATTAAATGATTAACCAATGGTTGATTAGTCATTTAATTACGGCCTTGCTGTAAGCAATGCACAAAACGAAAGTATCATTTCCACTGGTCGCCACACTGCCACATAAATAGAAGTTGCGCTCAGTCAGAGCTAGTGAAAAAGTGGTCTAAAAGTAACAGTTACCTTGCAGGTTCGAGGTCAACGCATACTACATAAACATTTTATGTTAGTATGTTTTTGTTTCTTGTCCTGTATTACTGTTCATTTAATACCGTCTCTTTAATCTAGCTGTGATCGAAATTTTACAAAAGAAAATTAGTCATAAAAATTACATACGTAATTCTCAACTTTTTTACATTTTAACGATGTTTTAGATATTGTTATAAAATTCTGTGATGTTTCCGTTACGATGTAGTTAATTAAAAAAGCAATGTCATAAAAAAATAAAAATAACGTATAATGTGGACTAAAATATGTGTTGCTCTATTTTAATCTTAGTATATCAAATAGTGAAAAACGAATATCGATCCTACAAGATAATGTTCGCAGTAACGATGATAACTACAGATAAATAACGCGTTCCGTCCGACTATTTAGCAACGCCGCTAGGGACCGCCAGTCGTGATTTCGTATCGGATCATGTACCACAGATTGTAAACGCTGAGAAAAATATAAATAAAAATGTGGTAAGTGACTTTTATTTTGTAACAATTTAACTGCTAATTATTATATTACTAAATCGCTTATGTTGAATTAAATAGTTACAAATGAAAAGAATTAAAACGAGAATATAATCAGAAATATTGTACATTTATTGATGACTATAGAATTTCTGGTTTTATTTATGCTTTTTCTTTTACTGTATTAAATTTTATTGTAAAAAAGGATTTTAATATCGTTCGTTTTATTTTAGTTTTAATGATATATTTTAATGTTAAACGGGTTTCTATAATTTAATATTCAATTTAATGAAGAAAATTCTGTAGTAAAAATCTATACAAGCACAAGATTAGAAGGACAAAAAGCATACCTTATCAATGAATACAAAAATATTATTAAATGCAAGGTAACCTAAAGCCTTGAGAGTATAAAGGAAAATCGCCATTTTATGTTTTAGTATGCACTGCAACACATCATTTCACGTATTGTAGCGTTCGTTCTAAAACCGAACCTAGAAAACCATTTGATAAGATAACGTTAGAGGCGTCTAATGTGTAATGACTAATTCATAAAACCATCAATACGTAAACCACATACTATTTCATTATTTTTTTCTTTTTTTATTCGACTAAAATTGTAAGATTGAAAAAAATTACGTTTCAAAACACATTTACATCATCTGTTGCAGAACTTCGTAAATGAAGATTAAAAAATGGTTACAGAATAAAGCAAAAACCATTCTATTCTTATTTATTTCATCAATAAATGACCAATTTTATAACGAAATAACAGCGATTTTTTTATTGTAGTGATGCGCGGTTCAAACTAGGCCAGTAGATTGTATGGACTCACTAGTGCCAGTTATCGTTTACACTGTGCCAGTCGCCAGTCCAGTCAATGAGCGTTACAAACTGTACTAGTCAATTGTGAACAGGGTATGAAGGTCATTGTATCTTTGCAGTTGCTGCGTTTGTAACCTGCTTTGCAAGATCATTAGTGCAATCGTCTCCGTTCTGTTTGTCGTTGCAGTCATACTACTAATATTATGGGGAGTCGGCGTCATATTTGCATAGCATGAAGACGGTGAGATATTTCAAGTTTATTGTTTGTGAATGGAAACTATGATATACTTTAAAGGATTGCTTAATTAATATCCTTAACTATGAGAGTTCACGTTTAAAACGTACAATATTTCGTTATCTCATTTTTTCCTTTAAGTATGAGAGAGACGAGAATACGTTTTCATTCAATGTTGGGTAAGAAGACACATTGTCTCATAACACAATCCTTAAAGGTCATTGACATTGATGCAGACACGAGACGAGAAAAGTGGATTCAATAACAATGGACAAACGAATTTAATTTAATTTTTTATTTACAGCCCAATAAGTCCGCTGGGCTTATTGCTGGGGAATGTCTGCTGTCAACAACGCTAAACAAAAGGTTGCAGTAAACTCAGGTTTATTGCAAAACCTGAAGTTTAGTTACCAATAAGTAATTATTATGTACATTTTAAGAAATTGTAAATAGGTTTATTAATTAAGAAAAGAAAGAAAAATATTTTACAGTAATTAAAAATGTAATAAAACAATATTTTTTTTCTCGAGGAGTTACCAAAGATGTTATAACTAGTTGTTTTGCTGTTAACTATGTATTCTATAAATAAATCAGTTTATTGAATAAAATGCTCTCTTTTACTATCAATAATAACCACTATAGAGATAATGCCTCTCGATAACAAAACTTTCCTCTGCCCAATACTTTATCAAAAGGCGGACTGTAGCTCGTACACCGCGAAACTTTGAAACCTAACAAAGTCTAATTATTGTTAAATCCTACAACTGGCTTAATGTTTTAATATTTTGGTTACGATCATGTTTTCTTTCTTACTTCAGAAAATTGTATTCGAATCTCAGTCTATTTGGATGAAGCAGTGTTATGGATATCATTGTTTGCACTAAATTTATATGTTCGATAAAATACGCGATCAAATCGCCAACTACTTGTACTAATGATAAACCGGATGTTACAATTATTACCTAGCGATTAAAGTTAGGCTTTTTATCTTATCTTGAACGGTAGTAAAATCTAAATTGACTTGAATTACTATCATTCAAGATAATTATAGTATTCGTGATATATTTTTTATTATATTGTTATTACAATATTAATAATTAATTTATTTAACATACTAATTATATATTAAAATATTTAATTCCTTTAAATCTAGTAAAAACAATTATTAAGTACCTAAAGAGTTAATCCAAAAGAATATTTGTTCAGTAATGACTCTTAAGTCCTTAATGGATTACGAAAAATTTAAATTTCAAAATAAAAGTACTCCCAAAGACAGCATAATAAAATACATAAAAGATGCCCAAGGAAATAAAGTAAGGAATACCTTACAGTAAAGTATTTTTTTATTTCAACTAAGATTAATTATTCCGTTAACACGTAAGGGTTAACACTAACCTAATATTAAGTATCATTATTTGAGAAATAATGAACGGTTAGTTTATCATTTATACGTAAAATTCATGTTCTGATTTAATCTTAGTCCAAGTGTTAATACAGCGTAACAATATTAAATTATTTTCAGTGAATTATCGTAGCGTAAACATGTTTCATTTGAGTGATTTAAAATCTTCAAAGATAAAACCTGCTTTTGATATCAAAGATAATGTTTTCTCTTTAACAATAAACAAGAAGAGTATGAAAATTGAACACGATGTTGTGGAAGCAGCGAAACCGCTCATTTACTTCATAAGGTTATTTGGCATGCAGACATTACGATGTCTAAAGAAAGATATATTTCAAGCAAATTTGATAATGAAGTTCTACAGTTTGATTATTATTTTAATAATAATTTTTCTAGCGTTATTCCTTCGCCCTATCAGTTGGGTTGATACTAAAGACGACCCACCGTTGTACATTTTAACTAAAGTTTACGTTATTTTACAAGTGATAGAAGTTGTGCATTCTCTTTTTATTACGTCAATATGGAATAATATCACTTATGTTGAGCTATTTAAAAAGTTAAGCAGTGTCGATGGTCATTATGGAATTAATAAAACTTTGATCCGTAAAAGACGATTTACGGCTATTTTTCTAATATTTCTCGTGGCCGTACAATGTGTAGTAACTTCGTCTCTTAGAAAATTTCATGTCAACAATATTTTAACACAGTTCACTATAACGTGTTTGATGTTGCAAGGGATTTTTTCAACTTTTATTCTATTAAATATGTATTTACATCTTTTGATTCTAAATATGATTATATCCAAGAAAATAAACAAGTTTCATATCAGACATCAATTATATAATATATAATATTTAAAGATACTTTACTTAATAAAATAATAAAGGTAACTATCATTGTATAGATTTCATTTTTACTCTGTTACTTCGTTATTTAGTTTTATTTCTTTCCAGAAATTGTTTATTCAACAATCAGATGGCTATTTCAAAAGAAAATATTGCTGGTATGAAATAATGGAAATTTATGATAAAATTTCAGACTGTTTTTCTTTATTCTCAAAAATATATTCCGATCAGGTATGGCACTATTTCTCAAATGTAAAAATCAGCTATTGAGTATTTTGATATTATAATTTTAACTATAATTGAGTTATAATTTAATAGTGGTAGAGCGCATTTAAACATTTTAGCACGAATGGGCCGGCTCGCCCGGTGCAAGACCACGACCACATAGAAGACAGGCGTAAAGTGAGAGCAATTCCGCGATTCGTCTGATGAGTGTGGTGCCGGACGCCTGATTTTAATGCCTTTTCCTTTCCACCCTTTTCTTGAGAGAAAAAGATAGGAAGGAAAAATGGATTTAACAGCGAAGGAAACGCACAAGAAGAGGAAATAACTTGTTTATGTGGGTCTCCTGTTCTGTCAATTAAGGTTGGCAACACATCAATGCGGATGTCTATGGGCAGAGGTCGCTTCATCATATCGGATTCAGGTGGCCGCTTGCTCGTTTGCCACCTTGTGATATGAAAAAAAACATAATCCCATGCACTTAACAACTTTTGTTTTCTGTTCAGGTACTGATAATGTTTACCACTTGGCTTTTATGTGCGATACTAGCCATTTGCAGATCTATATCTCCGACGATAAAGGTAATGTGATAATAAACAAGCAATCTGAATATAAAGACCCTTTGTGAATAATATATCTTCTATCAGATAGAACAGATAGGACTTCGACTTCACGTTGACCATGTGCCAGAGAATTAAAAAAATAGATTATAAACAAACAAAACTTCCATGTTAACGCAAACCCTGACGAGAAATAAAATGTTTATTGTGACAAGACAACTGACAATCTAGTTCTAATTGCAAGCAAACTAGAATAATTATCATATGTTTAAAAAGCGAAATCAATAGTCATTGTAACATGAGATATTTTTGCAGTATTGGAATGTATACAAAAGCGACATAGCACGTTTCCTTTCGATATCCGGACGGCCAATTGTATTGACAGAGTTCAGTGAATATTTCATACGTGAAAGAAAGAAAACGCAAATGTTAATTTTGTATATAATGATATATGAAAATCTTGGTAAGTTTTTGATTTTTTATGATATTGACTTAAGTGTTAGAATATTTCGTTACACGACAGAGAAGAAACATAACGTATTACGTAAGAGTAAAAGAGAGAATTGGATAACGCACGAAAATTATTCATTTTGTTTATTTTTCTTTTTACAGATAATGACTATTTCTTGCAAGTTCAAACAATGGCAGATTTGGTGAAAACGAGGAAAATAGAGGTGTCCGCTAATATTTTTACGGTGGAAATACCAATAATGCTAAGCTTCGCCGGTACCGTAATTTCTTACAGTGTGCTGATGATACAATACTTTTATATGCGCGTTGTCACTTCGTAAAATGGACAAGAAAAATACATTCGGTTTTACAGACGTAAAAGCCGATATCTTACTAACATTATAAACGAAAGTTTCGATGGATGAATGTTTGTTAGAGACTAAAACTAAATGGCTCAACAGATCCCGATAAAATTAGGCATAGATGAAGAAGACAGTCTGGAAGAACACATAGACTGACCGAGTCGCGAGCTAAAGAAAGTAATATTAATATACGAGATGAGTAATTGATTTAAATTATACATGTTTAGATTAATCTTCTCTGACGTTCTCAAAACAACCTAGTTATTATACGTTCTTCAGAAAATATTCGTGGTTTAGAATATTAAGGACTAACGCAAGTTTTACGTAATTTTAACATACTCTTATGTTTTGAGTTTAAGATATTTGTTTGTAAATAATTGTTGTAATGAAAAGTCATATTGCACAAGACTGATATTTAATTATTACCTCTAAATTAACAAATATAATATACAGTAAATCAAAAATTACATGGTATCTGTATTAACAAATATGTTATTAATTTATCATCTGTATAATTTGTGTGAGGGTACAATAAATATATGTCTTGTGCACTCCCGACGCATTAAAATGCTTAAAACTGATTATACCACTTATGCCAGGGATCCGCACGCGCTGCCGGTCATCCTTGTAAAATTAATTCTGCTGGAGGCCTAGTTTATTCCATTTTCAGAACACTACACTTTTATAACATAATCGCAATTTAACCGCTCTCACCATGTAATGGAATACCATATTGCACAAGACTGATATTTTATAATACCCTCTAAATTAACGTAAAATATACAGATAATAAATCAATAACTTCTTTATGAATACAGATACCACATCAGTTTTTACACACGTACTATTCAATTAAGGATAGCAATAAGTGTATCTTACTTAATAATAATTATATTATTACAATTTAAACATTCAAAAAGTAAAAACGCTTCGATACATCGAAATCATTTGGTTTATTCAAGCGAAATAACAAAAGCTGATTTGATATCGTTATGACGTACAATGTAAAACACAACGTAGACAGTTTACGGCCACTGTCCGAGAAAATAAAACATTGTTACTGTTATTTCCCACGATACCTATAAAATGCCCAACAAAATATGAAACAGTTATACGATATGACGAAAATAAACACGTTGTTATAATATAAACTTTGCGGATTCGGATTGGAATAACCTTCCTAACAAAATATTTATTTGTTTTTTCAATATTTTATTAAACGTGACGCAACGGTCATGGTAATGAGAACGGGATTGATGTTATTCAATATTTACATACTCAGAATCGTTAAGTGGTGAATACTGGAGCCCCTTAGTTTAGATGTACTATGAGAAAACTAAGGGATACTTTAGAGCCTAATTTAATTCCACTATGGTAAAATTGTATTGTAGGCAATACACAAAATATTGCGACTTAGACATTTTCGAGATTGTTTTAGGATTTAGATAACAAAATTATTTAAATAGCCCACTACTTGTAAGCACATTTTATTCGTCATGTTTACTAGCTTAAATATGTACACTGATGCTTTAGTATTGAACTAAAGTTTATCTAAAATTGTGTTCTTATATTATATTATCTAAAATGGTCAATTTATGAACATTTGGGCCTGGCAGCACGGTTTTCCAAACCACAGCGAAAACATGCGACTGTGCTTGCCAGAACAAATGGTTTACCTTATTTATCAGTAGTTTAATTTTTAAAACAATAAAAATTATAATCTTCACCTTAAAACCTTACAAAAAACAATACTGATGGTTTATTGGCTCTTCTATATTTCTTATGTTTCCAGTAAACATTTAAATAAAAATGAAACTTTTAATAATGCATAATTATTCTTGCTTATTCTTATTTCCTTTGTAACATAATGCTAGAAAATAGTGTTATAAAGTGTTTCGTGCCGTGATCCGAGTCAAGCAGTTTGAATTTCTATGCTAGCAACACATTTGTCGATGTATGATGATAATATTTTTACCTACCTACTCTTTGAAAATGTTAAAGCTGTTAGGCTGTCAGCGTCAGCTGTCAGTGTGACAGATGAGTCACTTCCCGTTCGGTTTGCTTTGATTACAACCCTTTTTGTTTACTTTTGCCGTTTCTTTCATATAAGCGTTGTATACGTACATCCTTTAAAGAACTAACTATTTAAGTGTTTTAAGAACCTTGTAATCAACCGTATTCTTATTCAATCATCATGTCTCGCTGTAAGTATACCCTTACCTACTTTCTACAAAAATATAGAGCGTAAGATTGTCCTATAATTTCCTTTAACTACTACAACGGTGAAGAAAGTTAAAGTAATTTACTTAAGACAATAACGTTAAAACTTTTAATAATGCATTATATTGTTGCAGTCATTTGTTTTGTTAGTTCAAATTGACTCACTCATTTAACTTCGCTTATCTGCGCGGTCATTTGGTTTTTATTACAATGACGCTTGTTTGTTGTACGATTAAGAATAAAATATCTAACATTTTTTAAATGTGAAACCTCTTACAACTTTGTAGACATTTTATTCAAAATGAATGTAGATCATATACTATCCTGTTAATAAAATGGAAAACATCGTACTAAATGATGCAAACACAACAAATGTTGTGCAACAGAAAAATACATCTCAATGCATTGAGAATATTACGAAAGGGTTTCTAACAGTACTACAAGAAATATGACATAAAATTTTTTCTAATATAAAAATGCTTGCTGTAGTAAATTAATAATTATTATAATTCTTATGATTCCACAGTTAATTATGGCAATAATCCTCAATACCCTCCACCACAAAATACTATTTATCCTCAATTATATAACCCGGTCAATGCACCTGCTCCTGGTCCTGGACAACCAGGAAATCCATATTATGGATATCCAGCTCCGGGCCAACCTTACCCAAATGAGCCTGGGTTTGCTTTTCCATACCAGCCAGTGCCCATCCAGCCCACTAGTGTTCCCGCAGCAATGTCATATCCGAATGTAATGCCAACTGCACCACAGTATCCAGGACAACCTATAGTGGCACCAACGCAGCCTTATGTAGGAGGATGTAAGTATATTTAGTTGTAATGGCTATATAACTATTACTAGCTTCATCCGCAAAGAATTATGAAATTTTTATTTTATTGTTTACATATGTCGCAATGACATAAATGATGACAAACTATGGCAACCCTGCTTCCTTAATGTTGGGAGCTTGTATTTTATGGTTCCTTTCCCCCATTTTTTTCAATTTAATTATCCCCCAAGTTTAATAGCATAAAAATATATTGCTTAAAGTGTGTCAAAGTGTAGTGCTTTTTATTAAAGAAAGAATTATTTAAAAATCTGCTGTGATTGCTGACATCCTATGCGACATAGTAGTGTGTGTTTACACTTATTATATTAGTATAGTTTAAATGAGATTTACTTTTGTTATCATCACTAGTACAGCATTAACGACGCATATGGCTACGATAGGGCGCGCGGAGAAAAATGGTGCCGTTGCGCCTGCGACGTCATGATTGCCGCTTAATTGCATATGAAACAGGCATCTTGTTAATTGAATTTTAATTCATGTCATAATTTATATAAATTAATAGATGTAATTTTTCCTATAATGTAAGTTTCACCAAGCGACACCTTTAAACCTCAAACAAGCAAGAGATTTTTTGAGATGATTTTAAACAGTTTTTGGGTAAAGGGTTCTGTGTATATTAAAAAAAATTGTTAATATGGGCGATTTTTACTGAGCTTGATACTGATTACATTTTAAAATATTTTTCTTATGGTAATGTCATGTAGAAAATCACACACACCATGAAATTAAGAATGCTAAACTACAATTAGGCATAAACAAATAAAAAGGTCATTTTAACATTTTACAAGTTAATTGAATAGTAATTTGTGTGGAAACCTTATAATACTAAATTATATGTATTTAATGTTCTTACATATTTTAGCTCCAGTCGAATGGATTCCAACCACACCAAGAGATGCTTTCACTTTAAGCGATAAAGCGATTGTTGCTGGCTATGAGGGTTACGACCAAAGCCCTCTTTGGGTGATAAGAGCTAGATATGGAGGAGATTTGATCCCGGGCAAACTGGCCATTAAACACCATGCTGCATATGTTCCTTGGGGTGGAAACGAAAACGCTGTCCAGAATATTGAGGTAAGACATTTAGAAGGCTCTAGTAAAACTCCGTTTTATGCAATTAACAATAGTTAATGAATATTCTCTATTTGAGTAAAGATTTTACAGTTTCAAATTAGTACTTACTTGTTTATTTATATTTATATTTTACTTATACTTATTTATATTTAAAAATGTTGAAAGACTCATACCTGGTAATATTATAAAATTGTTTAACTTTTTACAACAAATAGTGATATTTAGTTCATAGTTTTGGTTTGAAATATACCGGTTTGTAGCTTTGCATTTACTTGTATCTTCTAATGTATGTAATTAGCTGTTAGAATTTAAGAAATCCTGGCAACTTTAATTTGCTAGTGTTAGAATGTAGTTTATGTCCCTTTCTAAACTGCAATTTTTAAGTTTATGGCGTGAAAATATCTAGCCTAAAGTGTGTCGGTCAATGTAAGCATTTTTATATTCAAAAGTATGCTAATATTGCTAACTTCCTATATTAGTATAGATGTAACTTTTATGCCAGGTATGTTGTGCCCCACCTGAGAGGGTTCGTTGGGTCGAGGGTCGTGAGGGCGTTATTCCACCAAACGCTATTGTGGGAGGAAACACTTCATCTGGTGAACCATTGTACATTGGAAGAGCAAAAGAACAGGGCTCTTTAACTCCTGGAAAGGTTTGTTTAATTTTATTTAATGATATCTATTTGTTTGAAAAATCTTACTAATTTCTACAGACATATGAAGGCTTGCTTTTTTTTTTAGGGTGACTTATAATTTCATATTTGAAATATTTACTGTTTATATATTATTTGTACATTGATGGAATAATTATTGTATTTTTACAGGTACATCCAAGTCACAAAGGTATGTATATATCATTTGCGGGCAAAGAGATAGCCCATAAAATATATGAAATACTTTGTCATGCTTAGAATTTTGAGATGATTTTCAAATAAGATATTAAAACATCATAATTGTAAAAATCAGATATTGTTGAATCAGTGAAACTGATATTTATAAAATCTTTATCCTAAATCTGAATCTCCTGACTAACTTTTTTATCTGTATTTCCTATCGAATTTTGACAGATCGAGGTCATTGACCCACATGTTTTTATTTAATCTATGTTTAAACAAAGTATTAAGAAAGACTGTTCTTATAAATTTGCAACAATATCTTTCTTTTGTATTGCAATATAATCTCATTTTATATAATTATTATTGTTATTATTAGAAATTAAGAATATGCCAAAAAAAAATGTAGATTATTTTATATGGCATTATGTATATTTTCTGTATTTGAGGGTTTTGGGGTTATTAATAAATATATTAAAAAAAAAATGTTTTTTTTTTACTTTTACTATAAAATAAGTACAATTAAACTACACATCGATCAAAATTACAAAGTTTTATGGATTGTTAGTTCAAAGTGGATTAAATAATAATTTAAATTATTATACAAATTATCTTTAACGGATTTTTTTTATAAGTATTCAATAAAAAAAAATTAAAAGCAGATACTGGACATTGCACAAGGTGTTTTTATAGTAAACATGAAACAATTAAGTACGTCATTGTAGTTAACTGATGGAAAAAGGATTTATTCTCACTTTAATGTCCTATTTCTATATACATTTTTTTCTAGAGTTAACCTATAATTAAATTACCTGTGCATAAAAATATAGTTTTATTATCATTAAATATTTAAAATATGATTAAATCTAAGATATAGGTAACAAATATCACAGGATAATATTCTAAATCCTTATTAGTATCACAACGGCCGAATACTGGAACGAAACTAACTTAAACAATGGTCTTCGTGCGACGCCTACAATTGGTTCAGTATTCAACTGTAACTAACCTTATTCCTCTTAAATTAAAATAGCAATAAATGTTTTAGTCATGTGCTATTTTTCTTTAAAAGGAAAATGTTTTTTTTTTAATCTGTTAGTGATGTCCCTGTTCAAAGATTATTGGTACGGTTGCACATCATACTTTGAGTTAAGCCCATCTCTATTTGCGATTGAGTGACGTCATTATTAGAAATGTCACTTGTATCAGTTTTTGTTTGGTTTTTATTTTTAAAGTCCTCGTTAGTATCGAACGCTTTATTTTCAATGCCGCTTTTCTCTGTTTTGGTTTCGGATTTCATTTCACCTTCTTTATCGTTCGTATTCGTATTTGCTTCATGTTTTTTATTCGCCAAATACAACCACCTGAGGAGAATTAATGTGTTTTTATGAGAATAACATTTGTTACAGATTACTAAATTCTCTCGTATTAAGATCTTATCAGTACTCTAATGAAATGACAGTTCACAAGTTAAACAAAACTAACAGTGAGTTCACTGAAACTAGTGAAATGAAAGAAATATAAAAGATAAAAGTTTGGGAATCGCTGGAGTAGTTATCCAACATCTTTCATTCAATTATTAACACATTATATTAAATATTTCGTTAAACTAACAAGTTAAGATACATACAAAAATATAACAACAGCTGGCACAGTAAGTCCTCCTCCAAGTAGGAAGAATGCTCCGGGGAACGTCTTTATTGTAGCAGTGTACACTGTCGTATACATTGGGGCATATACTAGCGGCATCATTGCTTCTGCCACACCAAAAAACGAATTCACTTTACCTATAAAATGTTCATTAAAGCTCTATTAATCTTTACCGTAGAATTTCACCTATTTCGCTTCTCAATATATCACTAACATTATAAATAAAAAAGTTTAGATGGATGTTTGTCTACCCATCTCCAGAACGGCTCGACGGATCATATTAAAATTTGGCACAGATGTAGGACATAGTCTGAAAAAACACATAGACTACGCGAAGACGGAGTCTCAGGCGACAGCTAGTTAAATCTGGAGCTGAGTTTTTTTTATTCAATTTAAATCAAGCAAAGGATATTAGTGTAATGCGTAGATGCCTTCAGGGTAAAATAGTAGTTTCATTTGTAATACCATCGACTTATCTCCTTTAATTTCTGCACAGACCCACAATGGTGTTAAGTAAATAGTGCCAAATTAAAAAGAGTTTGTATTATCACTTGTAAATATTGACTTATGTTCTTACCCAATTCATCTTTGTCCACTAATTTTGATACCATCGATCTCATTGCAATAAATGATGTCCCGTTAAATATTTCGATCAAAGGAGCTGTAAGAAATCAAAATTGTAAATAAACAAAAACCGTGTAATAAAGTTAAGGGCACATTAACTTACCTATGTATATGTGCCAAGTCTTCGTCGCGAAGGCGTACATAAAGCCTGATAAAATTTTACTCGTGCATGAAATTACACCAATGATGGCATCGTCAAACTTTAGTATGTGACTGAAAACTCCAACGGAGAACAGCGTTCCTGAAAAAAGGTATTCATAAGGTAATTTTAAGATTAAATTTGTTTCAAACTTTAGTACGACGTGAATCAGTACAAGCAATTTATAATCCGCTTTTTCACTAAGCGTATGACGATGACGTGTGTCACTATTGCTTCGGTAAAAAAGAGTAACGTCAGTGGAAATAATCATTAATACTTTTCTAAGAAAAAGTCTCTAGTCGCTAGTATAATACTATGGTAATAATTAGGAAATAATAGGTGATTTTATAAATAAATGTATACATTACCGACTAGTGAAGTACACATGGCGTAAGTTGAAAACATACTAAAATCAACTTCGTTCCAGTTAAAACGGTATCTAGTGAATAGATACATAACCGACATCTCGCCTGAAAACACAAAGAAAAAAGTAATTGTGATCTTAACACTACTTATTATAAATGGAAAAGTTTAGAAGGATATTTGTTAGAGCTTGTAGCCTAAACTGTTGAACGGATCTAGATGAAATTTAGCATTGATGTAGAGTCGCAGCTAGTACAGCATAATTTCGTTGGTTGCTATTGTACTCGATACGCATTATTAGTGCTCACCATAAATAGGTCCAATGACGACACACAGCACGACTACCAACATAATCACTCTCAGCCTGCGGTTGTTGGGGCCTCGTTTGAAAGCCACCATTAACGTGTCCTTCACATAACGTATGTCAAAGAAATCTCTAAGCCATTCGCAGCAGTTGTTTGTCGGCTTCTGAAAAATATACAATAGTAAGGTCATTGTTTGTACAAAGACAAAATGATCAATACTTGAAACGTGCAGTTAATATACATTTAATTGTTATGTATTTATTACATCTGTTTATATTATAGTACTGCATCTTTGTTTATTATGGAATGATGCTTTCATCACTCATGCGTATAACATGCTCCTCAAGCCAAGGTTTGTTTGAGGATTTTTATTCTAAGGTAATGAGATGTGTTTATTCCAAACATTTTTTGATGATTAGTACAGACCGACAGTTTAACTGACCCGGTATACATATGTAATTTGATTATGATAGCTTAGTATCGCTCTACTGTGTACAATTTCCTTTACGTATCGCTGGCGTCATAATTTTTTATTCCATTTTCTGTCTATGATGGTTTAACGTATTATCTGACGGAACCGATAACAACCCTTGCACCGGGCCAGATGTATTTGTTTGACTATTGCAAAATAATATAAAATCACTCATACTTTAAAATTACAGATATATTCAAAACTAACTTATCTAACAATGAAATCTGATAAATTCCCTTAATAGGTTAAGTTTTGATAGAGTTAATAATGACGTATTATTATTTATGTTCTCCAAAGGGATTTTATCTGATTTAAACAATATTATACAACAGTATTGTTGAAGCGAAGTGCTTTTGTTGTTGACATTAACAATGATATTTCATAACTCGTTGACATAATTAAGCTGCGAAGGACTTTTATTTAATTTAATTATTTTAATACTGTTGCATTCACCTTTGTCATATTCGAGTGCTACGATTGTTTTAACATGGTTAATTTTATTTATAAATCGTACGATTTTTTAACCGACTTCCCTAAAAAAGGAGGTACCTACTCAATTCGTCTGTATGTTTTTTAAATACAAACTATGACGTTTTTGCTTCAAGTTTTTTCATCTAGGAATTCTATCTTTGAGATGATTAGCGATCTGACATAGAAAATTTTCAAACATAGTGTTATTAACAGATTAAAAAAAGATGATTTTAATTCGAATGTTTTTTAAAATTGTGTCATGCTTTCACGTACATTTTTGTATTCACTAGCACAAGTAACGACAATATTATTCTGTGCGTCACTAAGATATCTGTCAATCAACAGACCGGACCGCTGTCTCCGTAACGGGTGGTCCGATTTTGACGGGACTTTGACTGGTAGCTGGTAGAAAGCAGATACGCGTGAGTATAGACAAACATTTCCTTTTTATTTTCCATGCTAACGTAGTTCGCGGACGACAGCTTAGAATAATCTAGAAGCGGGGACCTCTCCAGCAGCCGAGTGTGACTCGGATCTGGGTCAAGTTGACGGATCTTTTTGTATAGTTACAATTCGCTGATCAGACGACATTGAACTTGAAAATCTTACATAATTATATTGATCAAACAATATTCAAGGTCACATCGAATGTACAATATGAAAAAAAAAATCTTTGGCCTTTTTCATTCATAATTGTTGAATAAAAAATCTATATTTAAATCTAATCCGTATAAAAAGGTGAACCGTGCCTTTCCGGACGTTAAGTTTGTTTATTTACCTATCCGTGACAATTTATTATAACGGCTTATAATTTTCAACTTAAAATGGCATTATAAAATAAATGAAATTGGCAATTGTTTGAAAAATAAACATGTAGACCTAAAACTCTTCTCATATCTTCCTTTCATTTCTAAAACTATTCTACAAAATACGGACATCATCTTTAAACATGATAAAAAAGGTTGCATCTCTACAATAATTAGTGGTCCAATTACATTGTAATACTTTTTTAAAGAATTAGCCACTTTTTCATAATATTTTTAACAATAAAATAACGACGGACATGCATCAATAAGTCCTGATGCGTAGTCGTCCCTGATCATCTGCCAAACGCCCTTGTCATAACGCACCGTGGGAAGCTGCCTTGATCGGTCGAACTGTTTTTGTGATCTGTACTCTACCATAATTAACTTCCGGACTACTTATTACTAGTTAATTCCTGACTACGTATAATTCTACCTCTGCATTATGCTCAATTTTGGATTCGATGCAATTTTGCGGTAAATCTTTGAACTAATAGACCGTTTTCATCGATTTTTCTGAATTAATAACAAAATAATTATAAAACGTGCAAGTCGATAACTAAGTGTTATTTTTAGTTATGTTTTACTTTTAATTCCCATTAAATAAAAAAAAGTATTCCATTTTTCTTCCCTTAAAGTTCAGAACAACAGTCTGTCCGTTTATAAATAATTTTTATTTTCTTTGTAAACACGAAAATATAGAAGTTAACTAAGTTAACTAATATAAAGGTAACAGGACTTACCGAATCAATAAAATAATTAATTAAATTAATAAATTCTATAAAGAACTCTTAATCAATCTTAAACCACATGAGTGATGTAAGATGTAAACTAAACGCTTGAATTTAATCTCTAGCCTCGAAAATAATTAATCTATAGGTCAACTAGACTTTTGCAATTCACATTTAAAACTAACGTTTAAATATTTTTGCAAGATTAGCATGACAGCATATCAATATAAATAATATGATAGATTATTTATTATGAAAAAATACCTAACGTAGATAATCATTTTATTTATTTGTAAAGAAATGTTTTGCTTTATTTAAATAGATAATCGAGAAAACAGAAGTGTGAATAGTTAACAAATGATTATAAATCACTTTCTTTTAAATTATCTATACATCATCTCCCTGTTATTCTTTATGTAGATCGATAGTAAATTACTACATAAATACAGCAAACAATACATGCTGTTACTATAATAATGAAGGCGTTGAAGTATAAACACAAGTGTGCGCCATAAAAACAATAGACAATTGCAATTGTACAGCCAACGCAGGCAATATTTACAGCAGCCGCAACGCTGTTTGCCTAACCTCAGCACAATACAACAATTCATTTCCTTAACAAATGATCATTACATCAGCTGTTACAATTTTGTTGATCGAATAAGTGTATTTTAAACGTAAATTTTCGTTACAAAATGTCTTTATTTCTGATTGATAAAAAAAACATACTTACAATGTTCAAGTCATCCCTCTTGACTTCTTTTATCCTAAAGAATCCATAAAAGAAGCTCAAAATATACAGCGTTGCGCTTAAAGAGAACACGCCGTATAATCCAATTTTCCGAACTAAAATTCCACTAAGCGCTGCACCCACAGGCACACCCAATGAATAAAATAGATTTACGATTCCGATTCTCAATGTCCTTTGTTCCTCCGTGGTAACATCAGCTATGTAACTAAAGATTCCCATGAACATTGTAAACCAACCACCGGTCAGTGCTGGGAAAATAGCCTCAGTTACAGCAGCCACTTCTACAGGTAATTGGTAGAAGAAATACGTATTAACTATAAGGCCTATGCTTGTTAAGAATTCTCCAACAATTGGTATAAGCATGCAGAATTTTCTTTGCCCAACTCTGTCACTATAGGCTCCGAGAAATATTAATATGCCACAAGGTAAGAATGACTGTAATACAGTTTTCCATCCTGCAACTGACGCTACCAGAGTTTGTACTGCTTCTTCTTCCATTGTATAGTTCTCTGTCTCTCTTTTAGTTAGTGCATCACATATGTGATGTTCGAAAGCTAAATTGACACGACAAGCTTTTTCTAAATATAAATTCTGTGTAGCTAATGCCGATAGTACAGATGGCATCACATAGCACGCTAAAATTGGCTCCACCGTAATCAATGAGAACATATGCCTCGCCTTTTGTATGAAATTTAAATCGTCCCAATTATCTCCAACATCTTTTTCTTTTTTTGTATCTACATTTGATTTTTCCTTTTTACTTTTCCTTATGCTATTTCTGATGTACTCATTAGTGTTGTTTAAAACCATTTTGTCGATAGTCTTAACGTTGGTTTCTATCTTTTTTTCATCGATCGCCATTATTGGTATCTGAAAAGAACAATATGAAATTTAGTGATCAATTAATGTTTTTTTACCTATTTGGAGGATCTTTGTATGTGCTGTGAAGACCTCGTATATTGTCTCTGAATCATTGAAAAGTACAAGTCATAACTAATATTGTATCGAAGAAATCTTTTGTTGATTTATTAGGAGGCTGAAATTCTAGAGTTTTGCTCGTTAGTGTACTAAGTTCAAATTACTTCTGATTAGTAAATGCATTAATGTCGCTAATACCGGACGTAATGGCCATTAAATGATTACCGCGTGTCTTGTGACCGTTGGCAGACGGATAGTATCCACTTTACGTAGCTACTGAAGTTTTATCATGTCCCATTGTACAATTTCCATCCAGTCACGGAAAGAAGTGTTTTAACAACGTATAATGCTCTTAGTTTTTATCTCGTTTCAGCGTCGAACTTAAAGCAAGATAAGACACGGACGTTTGTAATCGAGAGACATCTTACAATGGACAATGATTTCCTGGACTTTTATTCTATTGGAATTTAAAATGGTTTGTTTAATTTAACAGTAAAGGTAAAATATGAGATTCATGTTATCTAAACGAAGTGAAATAACATAAAATATTTGAATTCTATATATCAATATTAATTAACTTTTATTAAGTCTATAACATCTCATTAAAGATAAGCGTAATGATGTTAGTGTATTACTAGTATTTGAGGTCATCAAAGTATTATAGTTACCTGTTGACTGTACAAAGGACAGGAAGGGGAAAATTTTTGCAGCAACTCCGAATTTAGGTACTCATTCCTAACCAGACGTATGTAAATATTTAAATGGTCTTTCCCCTTAATTAGTATACATTAAGAATATTTGGATGCGACATAATGAGATGACTTGTAGTTTTTTTGATGACAATCTCAACAATGCAGAGGTTGACAAAAACGAGCAACGTTATTACACAGGCCTTGTGAATCGCTAGATCGCAGCGTTCATTATCAAGGTTGAATTAGGGACATGTTTTGTCATTTCAGCTAAATTTTTATCTTTCCCACCTCCGCAGATAAAAATTTTTAGTAATTATAATTCTAAATTGATAAATGAAATGGTTTATTCAAAATTTTATTTTACGAAACTTATTTTATTAAACTTCTCTCTAGTGCCGTTAGACGTTATTTTGTTTTTAAATTTAGTTAGGTCACTGGCAATGAATAAACGAATTGATAATATAGAAAAAAATTGTCAGTGAGTGGAGCGATTACGAACGAACCACATTTTTTTATCAAAGAACAACAATAGGGTGTTTGGTTTTTATTAGATTCTATTTTCGACGTGTTAATATATTTTTAATAGTTAAATTATTATGTATTCCAACGAAAAACAAGACTTAAATATCGGTAAAAACATTTCCGATGATTGCCATAGCATTGAACTTTCTATTATTTTAGTAGGTACATAATAATTAAATCTTTGGCAGTTTTAAAAAAAATGATAGTGGCACTCATGATATTTCTAACACAGCTCTTTAAAAACTGGAAAGTGGTTTCTAAAAAAATAATCCACCTGTTGTTTACAACAACTAAAAAATATACAATGTTTGAACAATTCGCGAGTTTAGATCTAAAAAAAATGTCTGAAAAAAGATCAACCAACCTTCAATCACGGATCCTTCTATCTACAAAATGGCTGGCAAAAAACGCTTTCATTATTATGCTACGAAAATATTGTTTATTAATTCACTGTTTATAGTCGTTAAATATTTTTTTTTTATAATTATATTTATTAAGAAGATTTTGGCAATTTCTTATTTTAGATAATATTTATTTGAAGATTACTAGTTTACGCCCGCGACTCATCCGCGTGGAATAAAATAAAAGTAAGCAGCCCATGTGTTTTTTCAGACTATCCTCTACATCTATGCCAAATTTCATCGAGGTCCTGTCAGCAGTTAAGGCTACAACCTCAAACTAACATATATCAAAACTTTCGTATTTATAGTACTAGTAAATTACCCCATAGCATTATACATCATTGTACAGTTCAAAGAGTGAACAAACCAATATATTTTTCTTTCTTAATCCATTAGAAAAATCGATTATTAGCTTCGCTATACTAAGAACATCGTGACGATACGACTTGTACAAAAAATATTGATTGATAGATGGATGCTTCAATAGCCAAATACATTATTACTACAGAATAAGGTGATTAGATAAAATATTTATTTTGTTTCCTAAAAACCTTATACAAAATACAAGTATTACCTTAAAATGTTTGTTTTTGTATAAAAGATAAATGATAAAAAGCTGATTTCCATAACAGACGTTTAATCCAAACAATTGAATATAAAAGCCAAGAAGGAAGTACGAAATTTTAGCAAAAAATCTTTAAAACTCGACCTTGAAGATTTAATATGATTTGCGATTACAGCGTCGTATAGCTGACATTTAAAATTAGTATGTCAATTCTATACTGAGACACGATCATGCAAAAATAGAGAGCAACTACTTTTTTACAAACCATGTTGAGATCAAAAACCTCGATTAACAATACAAGTCAACTTCATGTTTTGTTTTAATGTTTTTGTTTCTAGTAATTAATTTTTTTTACTCCTGGAAAGAGAGATGGATTGCGTGAAAGGTGACGTGATCAAGAAGATGACTGAGATGACGGATAATAGTTATTTGGACGATGAAAACTGTTGCGTCGACCCTACGGGAGTAGGATAAAAAGATGACGAAGACCTCATTAATAGTCTGAATATGATATCATTAAAGAGGTAGTGACGACTGACATGATTGAAGACAGATTAATTTGGTGATCAAGAATTGGTGTACGGACATTACAGGAGTGGGATCAGTCTCTAGCCTAGTCTCTATTGAGTCGATAGCTCCGACATATATTTATGGAGGTAGTGCCCGCGTTAACATCTTAGCACGAATGGGCCGGCACGGCCGGTGTAATACCACGACCACACAGAAGACAGGCGTGAAATGGAAGCAATTCCGTGTTTCGTCTGATGAGTGTGGTGCCGGAGGTCTAATTTAAGTCCCTTTCTCTTTACCACCCTTTTCTTATAAGGAGAGGATGGGAAGGGGAAGTGGATTTGACGATTTTACGGTTGCTCGTTTGCCACCTTATGTTATAAAAAAAAGTCTCCTCCAATAATAGACAGACTATGTTTGAAAGCTTTGTGTAATTTATTTTAATTATTCCGAGCTTTAAAATATTAAAAGCTTCTTTATACTTTAAATACATTAAAGTTTCAATGCCGTGTGAATTCAGTGAGGTGAACGCAAAAATGGTTGAATCCGTTCTCTCGTTTGTCTGAAGCGAGCAAGATAAATGTCGGCCTCGGCGCGGATATTTGATTGCGGTAAAATTGCTGCCGCAAAATGGCAAACCATTACGGGACGTTAATTAACGTTCTGTTTATTTTACTGTACGGAAAATATCAATCTTAACTAAAATTACTAAACATTACACAAATATAAAACTTAAAACAAAATGTTCATGGTACTAAACATGACCAAGAAGGGAGTGGTGAATGAAATGACGGATGATAAAGTTATTTGGAGGACGAAAACCCGGCGCGTCGATCCTATGGTAGTAGGAGATGATGATGATGATGACTCAAGCCCCAATGCTCCGCAATAGCCTCATAATGTCGCGCGTTATTTGACGGTACTGAACAGACAAGCACAGGATGTAACCGACAAACCTAGGCACGTACATTCAATACATAGAAAAATTAAAAACCCTCGTCTGTTTAGTGTTTTATTAAAAAAAAGTATTGAAGAGACAAACTGATGTTTGTTTTGCATCAAACTGGAGCTCTAGGAGCTCATCTTACTAAACAAAGAATCAGTGTTTTGATAACAATTGTGACATTGTTTGAACAACACTTCCTACAGTTCACCGTGACATATCACTTAACGTAATGTCCATACTTGCACGTATTCGTGCATGATTTTTCAACTTCATATCGATTTGTTATAAATGTAAATAAAAGTAACATAAAACAAACTTATGTTTTGTTTCATTACTATCTTTATTTGTAGAGGTACACGAGTACAGGTAGGGTGGTATGGGCATGTTATGAGAAGGGATGAATCGCATGTAACAAGACGGACGTTAATTATTAATGTGGAGGTAAACCAGTAGAGGTAGACCTAGAAAGAGATGGATGGATTGCGTGAAAGGTGACATGATCAAGAAGAGAGTAATGACTGAGATGACGGATGATAGAGTGCTTTGGAATACGAAAACCCGGTGCGACGACCCTACGGGAGTAGGATAAGGCAGGGGAGATGATGATGACACGAGTACAGGTAGGCCTAGAAAGAAATAGATGGTTTGAGTGAAAAATGACATGATCAACGCAAGCGAAGGGAGTAGCGACTGTGATGACGGAAGATAGATCGAGATATGTAAAGGACGAAATCTGATGCGCTAACCCTACGTGTGTGGGATAAGGACAGTGAGAAGATATTCTTACTAGTATAATGAATGCGAAAGTTTCAGATGGATGGATCGATGTTTGTTAGAAAATGTATCCCAAACTACTGAACGGATCACGATGCAATTTGGCATAGATGTAGAGCATAGTCTGGAAGAACACGTGGATTATTTACTTTTAAAATTTCATAAATATGATTAATGATCCCCGTTACTCTTTATTTATTAGACAAAATAATTGCCATCAACTGAACATTTTGGCAGGAACTTTTGTATAAATAATTTGAAAATTACCTAAATAAATAACCGTCACTACAAACTGCTATCTTTGTAAGAAGTCAAATGTTATTCCCCCATTATGTTAACAACTGACCAAATTGTATATTTATATTTCCATTACTGAAATTACCTTATACTGAAATTACCACCGGTTTCCCCAGCTTACAATTTCCATTAACATAAACGTTGTGTTTATTCACACTAACAAAAAAAACTGTATGTATTTTTTTTTAATTCGACGTCACATAAACTGTAGGCGATACGTATTTACATTACTATTAGTAACGTGT